AATCAAAATCCGAATTCCCTCTTGCCTTAGGGATTTCTGAATTTTTCCTTCCCCTTTTATTGCCAAATCAAATCATGTTCAAATTCTATTTTGAATTTTAAATTAATCACCATTAATTTCAAAATTTAAATTCATTCTTTTTATTTTTCAATTATCAAATAAATGAAAAATAACACAATGAATTTTTAAACATAATTATATCACAAAATATCAGTTTCTATTTTCCCACTTATTAGAGCTAGCCTTCATATGAACAAAGCTATGGAATTACAATACTCGACTAATTTATCCCGATAAGTTATCGACGTATTTAATTCTGACATCGTACGACTCCACTAAAGGTTCGATGCCGACTAATCTCTTGATTTATATGCGCTATTTTTCTGATGGTGTTAATACAATTTATCACACAGTCCACAGAATAAATGCACTATTATCCTTCGTAAATATCAGTGACTAGAATGGTATAGAAAATTCCCGTTTTACCATTCCAGTCATTGTTTCCTCAACTCCTTTATTTGACTGTGAATAAGAAAGACATATGTTCGTAAGATGTCTCGCACATGTCACGATGTCTTAATCAATGAATACCATCATTGAATACCAGGCCTGGTTTATTTATTCACACACCCATCAATAAAGCATGAGGTGACATTATCGCTTACGAATTCTATATCTGTGAATCACACAACTCTAACTTAATTATGTCATGATCCCAATGGCCGAGATGTTGTTCAAAAACTATGAACTAATCTCATTAGTGAATCAAAGACCATGAGAAATTAAGTCGAGTTATGTATTCTCTTCAAGATTGAGATAATTATACAAATATACTTAAGTTGTAATAATTAGGTTTAGAGCTCTGTAAACGGTTTTTGCTCTAACCGAATCAGTTACATGGTCTATTCAACATGTTGTGAACATGTCTAGATCAACCACAGAGTCCAACTCCCATGCCCCGAGACCAGCATCATATGGTTCGATCTAACAGTCATAATCGGATTCGATTGCCCAATCGATCCTAAGACTATGAATATGTATTTTAAACTATATCAGAAGAGCTTGTCCGGCAGGGATTCCCTGACTCTTCTTTCGTTGATAATAGTCTATGGACTAAGCAATATTACTAACACTCTTGAGTATGAATTAAAACATAACTTTATTTTATTTATAAACGTCAGCAAAATAATGAGATCCGATATTTGCCATTTCATAAATAACAAATTACATCCTACTTTCTGGACACATTTCCAACTGAGGCCAAATTCTATCTTGAGCTGGGATGAGTTGAAGGAAGCATTTTCCCTCCAATTCATAGGGGTTAAAAAGTACATCCCCCTGAAGCAGAATCTGACGGCAATATACCAAAAGCCGAACGAGTCATTAAGGGAATAGCTTACAAGATACGGGGAAGCTATCGCCGCCACGATGGATATAACGGATAGAGAGGCCTTGATGGAGGTGTTATCTAGCATGAAGAAGATTACCCCCCTCAAGAGAGATCTGAACCGAAAACCCCCGTCCAGCTACAAGGAATTTCTTGCGCGAGCGCAAGGATACATCAACGCTGAGGAGGCAGACGCCAATGACCCCGAGCACAGGTCCAACAAGAATAAAAGGGACAGAACAAGGGTCGACGCCAGCAAAACAAGACGGGAAAAAGTGCCGAGGTGGAGGAAGCAGAGACAAGCAGCCAGATGCGACGTCGAGCGCTCCAGAAGCCAAAACAAGAGGATGCCCGTAAAACTCAGCTGTTCCAAAAATACGAAAAAAGCGCCAGGGCCAGCTAGTACGTCGACCATCTGGGGGAAATGTTTGGTGTATTAAGAAAATACCACACGAAACTAAATCCCCAAAAATGTGCCTTTGGAGTTGGGTCGGGGAAATTCCTCGGTTTTATGGTCAGCAACCGTGGGATAGAAGCTAACCTCGAGAAAATTAAAGTCCTACAAGATATGCGGTCCCCAACTAAGCCAAAGGAAGTGCAAAGGTTAATAGAATGTGTCGCCGCCCTAAACAGGTTTATATCAAAAGCGACAGACAAATTCGTCCCCTTCTTCGACGCTTTAAAAGGAAGCGGGCGTTTTGAGTGGACACCGCAATGTAAAGAGGCCTTCCAGAAATTGAAGGAACATTTGGGCAAGCCCCCAATTTTGTCGAAACCAAACCCCGACGAGGAGCTTAGCCTATACCTCTCTGTGTCCCAACACGCCATAAGCTCTGTACTAATAAGAGAAGAAGAAAGGGTGCAATTGCCAATCTACTATGTAAGTAAGAGGCTCCTCGACGCCGAATCAAGATACAGTGAAATGGAGCGCTTAGCCCTCGCCCTGATGGTAGCTTCAAGAAAGCTTTGGCACTATTTCCAATCTCACACCATACGGGTTCTTACAAACCACCCGTTGAGATAGGCTCTACAAAAGCCCGAAACTTCCGGTCAACTCCTCAAGTGGTCGGTAGAACTGAGCCAGTTCGACAAAAAATATGTGCCAAGAACTGCGATCAAGGGCCAAGCGTTGGCCGATTTTCTAGCCGAGTTCTCCCATAGGCCAGCTCCCGCCACGCCTGAAGGAGTTGAGACTACAGAATGGAAGCTCTACGTGGATGGAGCGTCGAGCGAAAGTGGGTTAGGAGCCGGCGTCTTGTTAATCAGCCTAGAAGGCCATAAGATTACCTCGGCGGTTCGATTTAAATTCAAGGCGTCGAACAATGAGGCGGAATACGAAGCGCTAATCGTGGGACTGCGATTGGCCAGCCACCTGAAGATCGAAAGGCTCAGCATCTTCAGTGATTCTCAATTGGTCGTCGGGCAAGTAAAAGAAGAATACCAAGCGCGCAGCGAGAAAATAGGAGCGTACTTGAGGAAGGTAAAGGAAGAACTCGTTAAGTTCAAAAACTACGAGATACTTCAGATACCACGAACCAAAAACACAAACGCCGACGCTCTGGCAAAGCTAGCATCTTCAAGAGATTCTGACACACTAGGGGTCGTTCCCATCGAAGAATTGGAGCGGCCGATTATTGTAGAAAAAGCTAAGGCATTAATCGTCCAAATAGGTGAAAATTGGATGACGCCACTCATCCAATACCTAATGGATGCACAACTGCCAAACAATAAAGACGAAGCCAGACGGATCAGGTATAGAGCTGCTAGGTACTTGTTGTACGACGGCTTGCTCTACCGACGAGGCTACTCAACACCTCTACCGTGGTGCCTGGATAATGCCGAAGCCCAGAAGGTCCTCCAAGAAATCCATGAAGGAGTCTGCGGTAACCACACTAGGGGGCAGTCTTTGGCTCTAAAGGTTTTAAGGCAAGGATACTACTGGCCCACGCTCAAAAAGGACGTTTTTCAATACGCCTGACGTTGTGATAAATGCCAAAGGTATGCCACAATTCCTAGAGCACCCCCAGAAAATTTAACTATCATTCTCAGTCCATGGCCCTTCGCCAAATGGGGGGTTGACCTGATCAGGCCATTACATCTTGCACCCGGAGGCTTTAAATTTGCAATCGTCGCGGTAGACTACTACACAAAGTGGGCAGAGGCAAAGGCTCTAACTACAACCACGGAAGCAGCCTGCACCAAATTCATGTGGGACAACATCGTGTGCAGGTTCAGGATTCCCCACTCAATAGTATCCGACAACGGAAAGCAGTTCGACAATGCCTCAACACGCAGATTTTGTGACAGCCTGGGCATTCAGAAAGACTTCTCGGCGCCAACCATCCACAATCTAACGGACAAGTCGAAGCGGTAAATAAAATATTAAAGTATACTCTCAAAAAGAGACTCGACGATCTAAAAGGGAAATGGGCCGAGGAACTTCCCAAGGTCTTATGGGCATACAGAACAATGAGCTGAACTACTACAGGTGAAACATCCTTCTCCATGGCATATGGCGTCGAGGCAGTGCTCCCCATAGAAATCGAAACGCCGACTCTAAGAACCATCGTCCATAACGATGACGAAAACACGGAAGGCATGAACGGAGAACTCGACTTGTTGGAAGAAAAAAGGCTCGACTCCCAACTGCGCCTCGCCGCCTATCAGCAAAGAGCAGTGCGATATTACAACAAGAAAGTTTGGCAAAGAAGGTTCGTCCCAGGAGACCTAGTATTAAAAAGGGTAACGCAGAATACAAAACCCAAAAATACTAGTCCACTGGGCCCAACTTGGGAAGGGCCCTACCGCATAAGGGAAGTACTACGTCCTGGCACCTACATTTTGGAAAGCCTCGACGGCAAGAGACTTCAACACCCGTGGAATGCAGAACAGCTAAGGCTGTACTACCAATAGTGTATGTAATTCTTACGCATCCCAATTGTACATTCTCTACGAATTAAATAAATTGATATGTTTGCAGAAAGAAAGGAATTTTCTAAGACGACGACCCCAAGGGGTAAATTTGACGTCAGATCCTCCAAGGAGGAAAGGTGAATACTTAGCAAAATTCTAAGGAATTTTCTAAGACGACGACCCCAAGGGGTAAATTCAACATCAGATCCTCCAAGGAGGAAAGGCGAGCACTTAGTAAAATTCTAAGGAATTTTCTAAGACGACCCCAAGGGGTAAATTCGACGTCAGATCCTCCAAGGAGGAAAGGCGAATACTTAGCAAAATTCTAAGGAATTTTCTAAGACGATGACCCCAAGGGGTAAATTCGACGTCAGATCCTCCAAGGAGGAAAGGCGAATACTTAGCAAAATTCTAAGGAATTTTCTAAGACGACAACCCCAAGGGGTGAATTCGATGTCAGATCCTCCAAGGAGTAAAGGCGAATACTTAGCAAAATTCTAAGAAATTTTCTAAGACGACGACCCCAAGGGGTACAATTGACGTCAGATCCTCCAAGGAGGGAAGGCGAGCACTTAGCAAAATTCTAATGAATTTTCTAAGGCGACGACCCCAAGGGTTGAAATCAGCGTCAAATTCTCCAAGGAGGAAAGACGGACACTTAGCAAAATTCTAAGGAATTTTCTAAGACAATAATTGCAAAGCAAGGTATGAATAAAATCCGTTATCTTTATAAAAAAAAGGGTATATATAGATGAAATAAAAAGATGTCTGAATCAACATTAAGTTACAAACACATTAAAAAAAAAAAAAAAAAAGAGGTAAACATCTTTTCAGGCTTCGCCACCAGCCACTGATTCATCGCCGTCACCAGGCGATGAAAGGTTGTCGTCGCCAGCAGGAGGAGGAGAGTTATAAAGGAAGCTCAAGTCCCACTCAGGACGTTCTTTCTTGATCAGATCGACAATTTGTCGACCTGCACTGAAAATCCTTATTGCGGATGTCGGTGAGCTCCGGAGAAGCCTTGAACTCCTCAATAACCTCAGCGCGCCTGGCGTTGAAGGTAGCTGCAGCCTCGGCTTCAGCATCCCTCTTCCCCTCGGCCTTCCACTCAGCGAAACACTTCTTCGCTACCTCAGCTGCTTCGGACAACTTTTTATCGGACAGATCTACCCGTTTCGTAAGACCCTCGACCTTAGCAGTCAACTTGGCCAGTTCACCTTCTAGACTCGACAGCTTGGCCACAGCCACGTCTCTATCCTTGATGGCATCCGCTAACTATTTTTTCGCGTCGTCGACGAGGGAGTTGAGCTTGGCTTCCACATTGTCCATCTCCTTATTACGCTCCTCAACCTTAACTAGGTCAAAGAGGTTAAGGATGGAAAGGACCAAGCTCTAAAAAGTTGAAGTTCAGAAAAACAGAAATACAGAACGACGAGTAAAAAAAAAAAAAAAAAAAAAGGGAAAAAAAAAAAAAAAAAAAAAGGGAAAAAAAAAAAAAAAAAAAAACTCTCGACAAAATCTTACGTGGATTTGGAAGGAGATCTGTTTGCGCTGACGGTCGACCAAGGAAGATTGAGCAGTAGCGACCTAGTGTGGCTCGAGGAAAGACTCATAGAGAGCCTGAAAGACGAGGGAGAAGTGAGGGGGAAGTTTCAGCATTGCCCCGATCTCGGCGTCAGAGATGTTCGAGACTTGGAAATTTCTGCCCATGATTTTTCCCCCGGGAATAAGTACGCATTCCCTCAGCGCCGAGGGAACGTTAACCTCAGGGATGGGGACCGTCAGTATCCAAGTCTCGGCCACTAGCGTCTTCTCTCTGCGCTTCTTTTTCCGCGCAGGATCCATCTCCGACCCTGAAGGGCCTTTGGTCTTCTTGCTCCTCGACACGTGGGAAGAAGAGCTAGCTTTCTCCTTCCCCTTCGACGGGGGCTGTTGGCTCGGTGGGGGTTGTTGATTCGACAGTGGCTGCTGGCTCAGCCCAGATTGCTGACTGCCAGGGAGTTGGATTCTCAAAGATGCCATCTCTACGGAAACGACGAGACAAAGATATAGTCAGCGTTTGGAAAATGAAAGCCGTAATAAATAAAGGCATCAAAAGCAGAAGTTACCTTCATCGCTTAAATGGAAGTATGCGTGAACGGCATCTACGTCTGAAGGGTCTGGGAGATCAAGAATCAACCCGGTGGCTCAAAGGTTGGACTTGGTCAGGAGCGTATCAATGTGGCGGATCTCGGACGAAAACGAGAAGGCCTTCTCGACCCTCGCCAAGCTATTTCCAGAAAACTTCGGCCGGTCTTGGTTAACTGAAGGGTGAAAGATTGTCAGCATATGAAGAAAAAGAAAGAAGCGAAGTAAGGTAAAAGAAAGCCAAAAATCTCACCCATGTTCCCAAACGCCGCCTGCACCTGCCTTCGACGGGGCAGGCGGTTGCTGGGGTGAAAATTGAAAGGCCCGCGAATCATGAAAAACATGGGTTTCCACCCATGTGACAATGAGGGAATGCCCAATATCAACTTCCCGAATCTGGGCTGAGATCTCCCGTGACCACTCAAAAAATACCACCCCTCACACTTGGCGACGTGGCATAGTTTGTACATAAATCAGAACTCGTCCAGAGGGAGTTCCATATCAAACTGTTGATGCCACAAAATCCAGGGACCGGCGAAGCAGTACCAGAAGTCCGGCGCCAGTTGAGCGGGGGAAATGCCATAAAAATGGCAGTAGTCTTTTACAAAAGGAAGGAGGTGGGAGCCCCCCCCCCGCCGTAACGGCTCTAGTATAGACCGGGAGGTACCCGGTCGGTGGCATGCTAGTCCTAAAATGCATGTCCGGGAGGAGGTATTCGAACCACCTCCCGTCGATGCATCCTTCCTTTACAGCCCGGATGATATCTTTATTCCGGACCTTCGATGCCATAACATCGGTAGTAAAGAAGGGCCTATCCGGATCACCACTCGTGGCAGCCAGGGGGGCATCTACCATCGAGGCAACCACCCTGCCTACACTGCCCCCCGTGAAAGGGATCCGCTCTACCACCTCATCCAACATCCGTTCTACGCTGCCAAATTCACTACCGAAGCCATTACCTGGTTCATATCTGGCTTCGACGTCTTCTATGTCCCTCAGCACGGAGTCAACGCCTAAAGATGAATAAGACCATGAGATCTCCACCATTGAAGGGGAGTCTGGACGGACGACGGAAGAATCCTCTCGACTGGGGGAATTTTGGGCCATTGTTCTGGTGATTAAAAAGACAAGGAGCTGAGTTAAAACCCTAACGTCGAGAGGAAGAAAAGGATGACTATTCTAAACAATGACTACTCAAATGCCTTGACTTGACGTCGACCATTCATATGAGAATGGTAACGGCGAGTGCTCATAGAATCCCAAGTTCCCCAGAACCCAGAAACCAGAAGGACACAGACAACAAAAAGATGGAAACAGAACTGTCCTATGCGGAAAAGTAAAACAGAGTAAGTATCCCTAACTTCTACATTCCGCGTATTTCCATACATATGTGAATCAACAAGGAAAAAACCCGTGAGTAAGCAAAACGAACAGAGGATGATGAAGCTTACCGATAAAGAAGAGTTCCGGGGAGAGAATCTCATATTGAATGCGGCTTCGCGACACGCCTTGAAAAGTAAGAAGTACGAATCGGTGTTTTGTGGAGAAGGATTCTGATAGAGCAAAAGGCAGTTCAGCAAATACGGGGGCTGTTTGTGTTTTGAAAAAATGGTTTTCAAGTTCGAAGAGGGTATTTAAAGGGACGAAAGTCCTCGACCCTTGACTGTTGGATGAAGATTTTAAAATCCAACGGCAAAGGGATCCTACCCAGATCTGACGGTGACAAACGAGGGTAGGAAATGGAACAGTCGCGATCTAAGGGCTCGTATCCATCCTTTCGAAATGAAGCCTTGCGTCATCATGACCGACGCGACGGTTACATCCCCTGAAGGAAATCCGAAGCGTCCAGGCCATCATTGCAGATGAAGGCTTGGGACCGGTTTCCCACACCCGAAGCCTGGAAGTACGACCGAACCAAAGCTCGAGGCCGCCTAAAAGGAGCCATCGACCTGGGGGTAGCTGTTGTGTGGGAAAATGTGACGGATACCTGGACGAACGATAATGCGACACGTGGCCTTGACTACTCCCCGCCAAGCAGCAACCCTCGACGTCTACAGCTCTAAAGAGCCTAAGCACGAAGTCTAACTGAGGGCAACGATTCCTTCTGGCATCGACAGATTGTGCCGTTGAGCTTAAGGCATAAAGATCCCTTGACCGCAGAATCGACCACCAAGAAGGACGATTGGGCTAAGCGTCGCTGGCGACGAAGGGAACGTTCTCTGAAGGACGTGGCAAGTTGCGTACAAAAGTGGGGGACGTCTGCAGGCATTAATTGCGAGCTCTTAAACCGCCCTACAGGGGCCAGGAGAGTGTTACAGGGATGCACAGAGCCGT